TGTACAAATCGTATTTTAGTTAGCTGGAATTTACAAAACGTTGTTTAAAATAAACTAATTAATTTCAATGTCACAGGTTTTTGCTAGACCTTTGTATGATTCTATTCAAATTTGGCACGTGAACTGAATTTATTTCATAACATTGTAATGAATATTTCTGGTAGGTACATTTATTTATTTGTGAGATCTATATATAAAAGCAATTTATCAAACACAGGAACACACTATACATTACTCCTTAATGTTCTTATTCAGTTCATTATTTGCTTTCTTTCCTTCGACGTTGGTCATGGAATATTCTTCAATATTTCCGGAAACTTCTTGTAAACTACTTTTATTTGCTGTATGATTTAGGACCCACGGCTACAATATAAAATATAATCTATACAGCAGAATTACTTCTTTGATCTATCTTAAAATTCCGGCGCTTTTTGCAGGCAGTCATAAATCAACCTGTTTAGCGGATGAAGCGTTGGAGGGCGCGGCTGAGAAGTGAGGCGGCTGTCGGCTTCGTGGTACCTACATCAAAGATGTCGCTGGTATAGATTGCCTACGGCATCTAATCATAGGCATTAGTGAAAAGACTGTTTGCATTTAATTCATTTAATATCCAGTAACTAGTAGTACCTACATTGGCATCTACGGATTTATGGTGTGCTGATGAGAACTATCAAGTTGGTCTTATTCCATTTCTTAAAAACAAACTGTCTTCCTTCTTACCATCAGGACTTACGAATCAAAGCAGTTTAAAACCGAAAATATCTTGCTTTCAACTTACAGCTCCAATATTTTGTTATCCTTGCTTATTTTTTTTCCCACATATTGAGAGTCTAGAAAAAACTCATAAAATCTCATATCAAATGATGAATATCACGTGAAAGGTGTTATATAACTCATGATCACGTCAAGCTAGGTGAAGAATACAAAACGCATTTCCTTGAATTTAAGAACGCCGCGGTGTTTCGTTAAATATTTTAGCCGCGTCTCCATTCAACATAATTGTATGGCTTTTATATGTTCTGGTCGCATGTGCCATGCAATAACATTTAAAACAGTAGTTCAGGGTCATGGCTAACCTGGGAAATGAGAACATCAATAAAGGGAAAGTAAAAGTATTGCAATAGGGTCTTGAATTAATGAAATTCAGCTGTGGCATCGGCATAGATGTTCCTTCCAATAATTGATTTTTATAGATATCTCATTGTAGTTTTAAAAAGTTTGATATTAGCTGCGCAAATAGAATTTCTGAGTTGAAGTTTATTTAATGTAACAATAAATAGGTGTGATACATGATCGATTATACGAATAATAGGCGAATAGAGGCAATTTCTATTTTTTCTATGAGTAAGATAAAAAATGTAAAAATTTAAATGATGATAGGTACTTGGGCGATGGTTTTTTGCGTTACTGACCAATTTTCAATCGATATTAAGTGATTCCTCCGGGAAGAGGAAGTCCGTATATAATTACTAGTGACCCGCCCCAGCTTAGCACGGGATACAGAATGTCTTTATATACCGCCGCGATCGCTATGTCCCTGCATTTTAAATCTGTAATATCTTCGAAAATATTCATTTTAATTACATGCTGTAAAGGGCCATATTGATCTATATTAAATGCACAATGTATTTAAGGTACTTAATTGGATAAGAATTAATGCTGTATTGCCTACAATCGCTTCGTAAATAAGTCATTATTTCTCATAAAAAGTAAAGGATAAAAATGGTTATTGTGGGTTATCCCTAAGAGATAGACATATACCATCCCGGACTTTTTTGTAGACCCTTTTAAGATGTACAATATTGTAGTACATTATTTTGATCTATCTCGTAGGGTTCAGCCAGCGTTTGCAATGTAAGCGCAAAAAATGTGTTTATTTACGACATCACATTAGAAACCTCTAAAATTATCAGTGTTTCCCTACTATATAATGCATGTATTATACATATAAACTTTCCTCTTGAATCACTCTATCTTTAAAAAAAAAACGCATTAAAATCCGTTGTGTAGTTTTAAAGATTTAAGCATACATAGGGACAGACAGCGGGTAAGCGACTTTGTTTTATACTATGTAGTGATTTACCATACACCTGCTTCGAAAGTACGATTTTCCTTATTTTAAGTACGAGGAGGTATTGCAACACAACCTTCCAGGCAAGAAATCACATTTCTTGTTTTTGAAAAAAATGTTTTATTTCCTCCTCGTGGAAATCGCTACACAAGCCGAAGGCGAGTATGGAAACTATGCAGAGGATAGACAAAATCCTCTCCTAATCAGGATAATTAAGACATTACATTCATAAAACTCTTCTTTTGCTGATTTCTGATTACAGTAATGACATAGGTACAACTTGAAATTTTCGCAGTTTTCGCATAAATAAATAAAAGAAATAAGGTAATTAACAGTGCCTCTTGTTCAAGGACAATATCTATCAGCTATAATTTTCTTGGGTTAACATATTTTTTTTCATCAGGTCTTAATATAAATCTACTCGGATAATTGTTTTATTATGCGATGTTGAAGATCAAATTAGAGCAATTATTGTTTATAATTATGTTTGATTATCTACTAGGTACCTACTAAATATAAATATTCATATGGAGAATGGTTTTACGTTTTTTCAAAACTGACAATCAGTAATATTATAATGGCATTTTCATGTAACAATTATTAAATATCACTTAATTACACGTATTTTATTTCTACAGGAACTGTGTAATTTACTACTTTTTATCAAATTGTTTTAATTTTTTTGTAGACGTTGTCACTGGGGTAACTGGAGTTGTGAATGGAGGCGTCAGTATTGTGACAAATACAATTCTAAGGATAATCAATGGGGCCGGGACTGCAACTGAAAAAATTATCAATCTCCTTGAGGAATTTAGAAAACGGATGGTCATGGGAATACCCGAACTGGGTATTCCTATTCTTGAACCTTTGACCATTGAGTTTATCGATTTAAATATTACTCATGAAGTCGGCAGGTAATTAAAATGTACTGTAGGTGTAAATTATTAAACAACGTCTTTAAATACTATCGAGAGGATAAGGAATTGCTAACTGAAATTCTATCAATCAAGAGTTATCGGCCCTTTGAAATAAATTTTTGCCGAAAATAGGTTCGTTTGCTTTTAAGAAATAAATAAATAATAGAGGAAATGTGAGGGTGAAAACTTGATTCATATGGGGCCGTTTATTGCTTGAGATCATAGGTCGCTGTTGCTAGCTGACTTTCGAAAATGCAACAAAATTCCCTAACATGAGCAGTTTGCATTTTTAAAGAAGCGGAAAATCATAAGATCCACTCTTTATCTTTTAAATTTTGCTAAAATTTATGTCTGGAAGCACTTAACGACGACATTAGAATGAGAATAACGACACCATTAGGCGTCTTTCTAGTTCCTTTGATGAAAATCTCATCATGCTCACTTCATTAACGTGAAATCTTTGAAATACATTTTTGCCGTAAATTGTTGAGGTTTACTCCTTGAAATGACTTTTAAGAAACAAACTCATTTTCTGATCGTGTTTTAATGAAGAAAATGAGGAAACGTGACGGCAAAAAATGATTTCATATGAAATCGTTTGTTTCCACAGGCCATTATTGTTTCTTGACATTTGAAAATGTAAGAAACTATGGGTGGTAATGCAGTAGTCAGGCATCTTCGAAAACTTGATGCTTAGTTAGCCTTTTGTGGCATAAATCTTTACAAATTTTGCTTTTGAGGCAGTTATGTATAAGACATGGTTTGTACATTTAAGACATATGTGTAGAAGTTCTTTGATCTGTCAGACGTGGATGTAACACCTATGGTATTATTATTCAATTAATTTTGAGGAAGTTTTTTATCATTAAGACGAAACGTAAGTGTCCTGAAAACACATTTTCCACACCAATGAAGTTACGCTGTTTTGTTATTATTTAAAAAAAAAAAACGTACGAATTCATTTATTTGATTTTGTTTTAATTTCGATTACGTTTAGATTTGTGGGCTATGCAAGGGACATCGAAGTCCGTCACTTATCCCGTTTTAAATTAGACCATATCAGTTTAAATCTACAAAACAGACTTTCTTTTAACATTACATTCCCTTATCTAAAAGTCATAGGCTTTTATGAGATAAATGGTAATGTTGGAGATATGTTCAGAATATTTGGAAAAGGACCTTTTTGGTAAGTAATTTTGAATTATTAATTATTGCTAAATTTCAATTAAGTGGGGTATTAAAAGGGGCATTTAGGACGATACCTGTTCAATTATGGGTCCCCTTACCTTGGCCCAAACAAATAATATAATCTTTCACTTCCTTCTCTTTTCATTGTGTCCGTCTCATCTATCTTTCCTTAACCATTCCCACCTTTCCTAAAAGTAGACAGAAGATAGATCTTATTCTCTGGATTTACATTTGAAGGGTCAATTTATTCACCACCAGCAATAGGAGAATTGAAACCCATAAGTGTTTTTAGTTTCAAGTTTTCTAAATAAAATGATCTTAGTATCGAGGTAAATGTTAAGCTACTTATTGACTCAGCATTGGTTATTGTGAAGTACCTAATTATATGTACCTATATGGGCAAAATTTTAGCATTGAGTTTGATTTAAAGTAATTTTAATTAATTTTAGCATGTTGACTTCTAAACAATTTTTGAATTTATTTTTTACTTTTTAAGACATTTTTATTAAATTTGCTTTTTATAATTTTTTATTTTAAGATACGTTTCAGGTTGAAATTGCAAGGATTGTCAATAAGTGCTGTAGCACAGTTGAGATTTAATATGAAACACAATCCTTCATATTATCTTGAATGGTTGAAAATCAAAGTTAAACTGCAGAAAATACAGGTAAAATTTCATTTTCTTCTCGTTCTTGTTTTGTTTTTGAATAAGTAAGTTGTATTATTACTCTTATTGAGGGCCAAGGTCGTGGAAATGTGGTCAAAGAAAAATAATTACAATATAAACCTTAGAATAGGCCAAGAAGCTGCTCATACAAAGTAATTAATCAAATAATGTACTACATTTACAATTAAAATTCAGACGCGCATTACGGTAACACAATATTATTATAATTATGTTTTTAACAATTTGTTTTAAAAACTTTCGTAATTTTGATATTATTACTTACACGAATTTTGTGTTGTATTTTTATAATTTACTTTACATGACAAATCTGT